TACATTTTAGACTCTTGTTGACTATGAGGGCTACTCCATTTCTTCTAAGGGATTCTTGCCCACAGGAGTAGACATAATGATCATCTGAATTAAATTTGCCCATTCCAATCCATTTTAGTTCACTGATTCCTAAAATGTTCATGTTCACTCTTGCCATCTCCTGTTTGACCACTTCTAATTTACCTTGATTTATGGACCTAACATTCTAGGTTCCTATGCAATATTGCTCTCTATAGCATTGGACTTTACTTCCACCACTAGTCACATCCATAACTGGGTGTTGTTTTCGCTTTGGCTCCGTCCCTTCATTCTTTTTGGATTTATTTCCCCACTCTTCTGCAGTAGTATGTTGGGCACCTACTGGCCTGGAGAGATCATCTTTCAGTATCCTCTCTTTTTGCCTTTTCATACTGTTCACGGGGTCCTCAAGGCAAGAATACTGAAGTGGTTTGCCACTCGCTTCTCCAGTGGACAACATTTTGTCAGAACTCTCCACTCTCCATGACCCATCTGTCTTGGCTGGCCGTAGCATGGCTCATAGTTTCATTGAGTAGACAAGGCTGTGATCCATGTGATCAGTTTGATTCGTCTTCTGTGATTGTGGTTTTCATTCTGTCCACCCAGTGACAGATAAGGATAAGAGGCTTGTGGAAGCTTCCTGATGGGAAAGACTGACTGTGAGGGAAACTGGATCTTGTTCTGATGGGTGGAGCCATGCTCAGTAAATCTTTAATCCAATTTTCTGTGATGGGCAGGGCTCTGTTCCCTCCCTGATGTTTGACCTGAGACCAAACTATGGTGGAGGTAATGAAGATAATGGTGACCTCCTTCAAAGGGTCCCAAGTATGTACTGCCACGCTCAGTGCCCCCAATCCTGCAGCAGGCCACCACCAACCCACGCCTCTGCAGAGACTCCTGGACACTCACAGGCAAGTCTGAGTCAGTCTCTTGTGGGATCACTGCTCCTTTCTCCTGGGACCTGGTGCACGCAAGGTTATTTTTTTGTGCCCTCCAAGTGTCTGTTTCCCCAGTCCTGTGTAAGTTCTATAAGTTCTGTAATCAAATCTCACTGGTCTCCAAAGTCAAATTCTCTGGGAGTTTTCAGTCCCTTTGCCAGATCCCCAGGTTGGGAAATCTGTTGTGGGTCCTAGAAAAACACAGATCTGCCTCAGTCTCTGTGGGGTCTCTGGGTCCTGACGTGCACAAGGCTTTGTTTGAAGCCAATCATGGCGCCTTTGTTTGTGTCTGACTCTTTACCATCCCTTGGACTCTCGCCTCTCAGGTTCCTCTATCCGTGGAACTTTCCAGGCAAGAATACTGGAGTAGGTTGCCATTCCCTTCTCCAGGGGATCTTCCTGACCCAGGGATCAAACCCAGTCTCCTGCATTGCAGGCAGATTCTTTACCATCTGAACCACTAGGGAAGCCCTTGGCAATAATTAATATGTGTGTATCCAAAAGAAAGTGCCCAAATCCATGAGGCTAGAACTGCAAGAAGAAACAGGTGAATCCACTGTTACAGGCCAGAGAATTTACCTCCCTGTTAGCAGACAGAAAATGAGGAAGGATCTGCATGGCACCATACATAAACTGGACCAAACTGACATTTATAAAATATCTCACCCAACAACAGCATCATAAACATTCTTTTCAAGTTCACATGGAACATTCAGCAATACATACCACATTCTGGGCCATAAAACCTACCTTAACAGATTTAAAAGAATATGTATCATACAAAGTGTGCTCTCGGACCATAATGGAACTAAAAGTCAATAACAGAATGAAAATCCCCAAATATCTGGAAATTAAACAACACATGTTATGCCCGATGTCCGAATCCCTGAGCTGGAAGAGAGAAGGCTTCCAAGACAATGCAACTTGCAAAAAAGGGAAGTTTATTGCTGACTCGAGTCAGGGCTCCTGCCGCGCGTCCAACGCAGTGGTACGGGGTCAGAGAGTGCTTGAGCCCAAGCTGTTATCCAATTTATAAGGTGTGCATAAGCAGTTGGTAGCTGGCTTAAGCGGATTGGTTACATGTTTGCAAAGTAATCTTATTGGCCCAAACCTTTGCGGGCTTTTTTCAAACTTGGGCGTTCACGGGCTTTTCAGCTTTCCCCTGATAGGTTCCCTTTTTCTTGCTAGGCGCATGTTGATTGGCTGGCTCCAGGTGGCCTGATAATCATGTTACCCTGGAAAACCAGGCCTACTCCTAATCTAGGCTGCCTGTCATGGCACAGCCTCACATTCCCCCCTGTCTTGTTGTTTCTGTAGAGGAATCTTTCTCTTCATCCTGGGCTACCATCTGATATTGTTGCCTCAATACCATAATCTGAATGGTATTTAGACGTTCTTTAATAAAAGACATTAACCGGTTTAAAATGCAAGGGCCAATCATTAGTGTCAATAACAGTACTATAAGTGGACCCAGGAGGGTGGAAACTAAGGTGGTCAGCCAGGGGGAGCGTTGAAACCAAGACTCAAACCATGATTGTTCATTTTCTCTTTCTTGTTTTTGCCTGCTTAGGCTTTCTCTAACTTTTTGAAGAGATTTCTGTACTACTCCTGAATGGTCGATATAAAAACAGCATTCTTCTCCTAGGGCTGCACATAGTCCCCCTTGTTGTAAGAACAGCGGATCTAAACCCCTTCTATTTTGTAACACTACGTCAGCCAGAGAACTTAAGGATTCTTGAAGGTGGGAAATGGATTTTTCGAGTTGTTCAATATCTTCATCTATTGCAGCCCTTAGCTGGTTATACTGTTTATCTTGGAGCGTTAAGGCTGCAATTCCACTTCCAGTTCCTATGGCCCCCAATCCCAACAGGACAGTTAAAGTTAGGGCAGTGACGGGCTCTCTTTTTACCCTATACTGACCTGGTGTCTCTAACTTTGGCTGCAGGCCTTCTTATGGGTAATAGTTCAGCCGGGGGATTAGATGGACTAGGACACAGAAATCTTGGGAGGTTTTGGGGTTGTCCTCTGGGAAGAAGGTTTTGGGGCTGCCACCTGGTTTGGTCCCAAAGCTACCTTGGGGGCCAAATAGAGTGGTCCCAGTTGTAATTTGAGCTCAAACCGGAATCCATTATCGAATCCAGTCTGATAAAGACGTAGGCCCCAGGCTCTGCCTACGTCCCACCTGGTAAACCTTTTTCCCTCATCAGTGAACTTAATCTGTAATGGAAAATATTGTCCAGGTTTAGACGACAACATCTTACATGGTGGGAAATCTTGGGGTAATTTTACCTGAATGAGGTCTTTGACGGGATTGGTGAGCCAATGGACCGTTCCTGTAGTTTCACATCCCCAAGCGGTGCAATAAAAAGAATCAACTCCCCCACATCTTGCAATTTGGTTCTGATCCCTTCCTCCCCCCGGACAGACATATACGGGTGTTGGTTTTGTGCATGGTGTGTCTCCCTGGAAGGCCCAGTCAAAAAGGCCAAGGATTTCAAACTGAGGGCTCCCGATGAAGTCACTCAGTTGACTGGGACCGTGGAAGCCGTTAATGTCGGCTGCCAGGACGCATAAATCAAAGGTCAATTCAGGCCACCACGTCCCTTTGGGGGCTACGTTGGAACTCGAATTAAGTAGTCCTCCGGTCTCAGGGTTGTAGACCACCCAAGTCATGTTAACCGGATGATGAGGGTTCTGGCTGGTCGCTCCTGGGCCGATGAGAGCCGCCATTAGCAGGAGAATTAGGAGGCCTCCCGTCGAACAAGTTTCAGTTTCAAAGGATTTGATGGGTGAGGACTCGCCTTCCATTCTGCTCGCGCTTTTTCCTGTTCTTCCGGAGTGGCTTGCCGCACGTGATTGCAGTGAACCCAGGGTCCGATCCCGTCGACCTTAACAGCAGTAGGAGTGGTAAGGAGAACAGCATAAGGGCCTTGCCATCTGGGTTCTAATACTTTAGATCGGTGCCATTTTACCCAAACCCGGTCACCTGGGCCAATGTTATGTGAGGGGATGGCCCCGTAACTTTGACCCTCGTGTATCTCTCGAATCAGTTTCCAAACATGGTTATGCACCTTACTTAATGCCATCAGAGTTTGCTGGAATTGTCCCGAAGTAGGGGGTGGCAGGCATTTTCCCTCGAAAATAGGACACACAGGAGGGGGTCTTCCATACAGAATCTCAAAAGGGTTAAGATTCAGCTTAGAAGGGGTGTTACACGCCCGAAAGAGTGGGAAGGGAAGGAGGGTCACCCAGTCCCCGCCCGTCTCTATTGCCAACTTTGTCAAAGTTTCTCTTAGGGTCCGATTCATTCTCTCAACCTGTCCTGAGCTCTGGGGATTATATTCACAATGTAACTTCCATTTTGTCCCCAGAGCTTGGGCCAGCCCTTGTACAATCTGGCTCACAAAGGCAGGTCCGTTATCAGAGCCCATAGTCACTGGCAGCCCGTACCTAGGCACTATATCCTCTAAGATCTTTTTAGCAACCACTATTGCTGTCTCTCCCTTAGTGGGGAAGGCTTCTACCCACCCCGAGAAGGTATCTACCAGAACCAACAGATAGCAATACCCGTACTTGCCTGGCCTTACCTCAATGAAATCTATCTCCCAGTGTTGCCCTGGCTCTTCCCCTCGGTACCTCACTCCCGTGTGCTGCCTTTTCCCTGTCCTCATCAGCTGGCACACTTTGCAAGCCTGGATTATCTCTCGTACAGTTGCATTTTGCCGAGGGAACCTCAGGCAGGCTGTCTGGAGAAGTGTCAAGGTCTTTTTCTCTCCCAAGTGTGTAGTTGTGTGCAGGTGTTCACACAGGTGACGACCCAGGATGGCAGGCAATATCAGGTTGTTGTTTTGATCTCAGTACCATCCATCTTTGTCATCCTTCTGCAGGGTGGTATCCTCGTTGATCCAGACTAGATCAGGGAGGGAATATTTGGGAACTGGTGGCAGAGTCCCCATACCAGGAGGTGGAAGTCCCACGGCTAATATGGGGGCGGCATAGTCCTGGACGAGGAGGGCAGTGGCTGCAATGATGCGAAGAAGGCAAGGGGGCCACCCAGGGGCCACCGGGTCTAATCGCTTTGAAAGGTATGCCACCGGCCGCTTCCATGGTCCCCATTGTTGCGTCAAGACCCCCTTTCCTATTCCTTGCTTTTCATCTACAAACAGCTGGAATGGCTTATTCGGGTTAGGCAGGGCAAGGGCTGGGGCTTCTAGTAGGGCCCGTCTGAGTGTCTGGAAAGCCTGTTTCATTGGCTCAGTCCAAGTCCAGTTTGGGGTCTCTCTACTTCCCTCATACAAGGGCCGGACCTTCTCAGCAAACCCCATGATCCACAGTCTGCAATATCCAACAGTCCCCAGAAACTCTCTCACCTGGCGGGGGGTCTTGGGCTCTGGTATCTGCAATATTGTTTCCTTCACGGCCTGAGTTAGCCACCTCTGCCTCTGCCTGATCTTATACCCCAAATAGGTGACCTCTTGCCGGGCTATTTGCGCCTTCTTTGCGCTAGCGCGATACCCCAAGGTGCCTAGAGTCTGTAAGAGGTCCCCGGTGGCATGGCTGCATGCCTCCTCTGTGGTTTCAGCCAACATAAGGTCATCTACATATTGCAGCAGGATGACCTCTGGGTGGTGAGTCTGATATTCATAAAGGTCCTCACTCAAAGCCTCATTAAACAAGGTAGGGGAGTTCTTGAACCCCTGTGGGAGGCGGGTCCAAGTTAATTGTACTACCGGTTGGCCCTCCCCCTCAGTCCACTCAAAGGCAAATATCTCCTGGCTCTGGGCCTCCAGGGGTAGGCTGAAAAAGGCATCTTTCAAGCCCAACACAGTGTACCAAGTGTACTCAGGCAGCAAACTGCTCAGGAGGGTATACGGGGTAGGGACAATAGGGTGTATGTCACTCACCCATTTGTTGACTTCTCACAGGTCTTGGACAGGTCTGTAATTTGTCCCCCCTGGCTTCTTCACCAGCAGTAAGGGGGTGTTCCAAGGGGATTGGCACCGCTTGAAAATTCTGGCATCCATGAGCCGTTGAATGTGGGGAGTGATCCCCCGCCGAGCTTCCTGGCTCATAGGGTACTGTCTCACCCTCACAGGAGTTGCCCCGGCCTTTAGCTCGATGACGACCAGATGTCTCTGTTTGGCCAGTCCCATTCCTGCTCTTTCTGCCCAGGCCAATGGATATTTGTGGACCCACGGTTGTACATCTGGTGCTATGGTCTCTGAGGGCTTAGGCGCAAAAAATCTGTATTCATCTCTTAAGGCTAGGGATAAGACATGTATCGGCTGTCCAAGTCCATCCGTGACTGACATTCCCCCAGGGTCAAAATGGATCTGAGCATTAACTTTAGTCAACAAGTCTCTTCCAAGTAGAGGGGCTGGGCATTCTGGTATCACCAAAAACGAATGGGACACCTGGTGGGTCCCCAGATTTACTTTCTGTTCTGTGGTCCTACAATATCTTTTTGTCCCCGTGGCTCCCTGCATCAAGCTGGTTTTCTTAGACATTGGTCCCAGTTTTTCATTTAAAACAGAGTGTTGGGCGCCAGTATCTACCATGAAGCCAACGGGTTTCCCCTCCACATGTATGGTTACCCAGGACTCGGGGAGAGGTGCCGAGTCTTGACTCCCTAGTCACTGTCTTCCCCCACATATAGAACTCGAGTTCCAGGGGAGATTCTCTCTCTCTGGGTTGTTCCTCTCTTTGGGTCCCTCTTAGGGCACTCGTTTTTCCAGTGCCCCCGTTCTTTGCAGTAAGTGCACTGATCTTTCTTTAGGGCCTGTCTTTTTGGTCTCTCTTTTTCTCCCGCCTGGGGGTCTCGAGGTTCCCTCAATTCTGTTCCAGCCTTCATCCCCGCAAAAAGAATCTAGGCTAGCTCCCTCTAGTTCTTCCGGTTTTCCTTCGCCCTATGTTCCCTATCTTCCTTCCTGATCTTCTCAGCTAATTCCCTTTCCTCCCTTCGAATTCACTCTTCCCTTTCTTCTGGGGTCTCTCTATTATTAAATACCTTTTCAGCTGCTTTCAGTAAATCCTGTATCGTCTGTTCTCCCAACCCCTCTATCTTTTGTAATTTCCTCCTAATATCTGGGGCTGCCTGATTCACAAACGCTAACAGAACTGCAGCACGTGACTCCTCAGCCTGGGCGTCCATAGGTGTATATTGCCTAAAGGCTTCCATCAGCCTCTCTAGGAAGGCTGCCGGGCTCTCAGTGGGCTCTTGCCTTACTAAATTTACCTTCGCCAAATTTGTCAGCTTTCTAGCTGCGGCCCGCAGGCCAGCAATCAGAGTCTGGTGGTATACTCAGAGATGCTCCCTACCTTCCGTTTGCTCAAAATCCCAGTTAGGCCGCAACAGAGGAAACCCCTCGTCCACAAGATGAGGCTGGGCGGTTGGCCTCCCGTCAGCCCCCGGGACCCGTTTCTGCGCCTCTGCCAGAATTCGCTCCCGTTCTTCTGTGGTGAAGAGCACCTGCAACAGCTGCTGACAATCATCCCAGGTGGGGTTGTGAGTGAACAGAATGGAATCTATGAGGTCAATGAGGCCTTGGGGTTTCTCTGAGAAAGGAGGGTTCTGGGTTTTCCAATTATACAGGTCACTCGTGGAAAAGGGCCAGTACTGATAGGTTTGCTCTCCGTCCGGGTTAGCTGGTCCCACTTGGACGGGGAACGCCTGAACAGTAGATGAAGGTAACTCTGGGTCCCCAGAGGCTTGTCCACCCCTAGTTCTCCCCCAGGTCCCCAATGTTGGCCCCCCTCACAGTCGGTTCCCAAAACCTCTTAATCCTCTCGGTTCACCCGTGGGAGCTTCTCTCCTCAGAGAGAATTGCAAGGGGGGCACATATGGCGGAGGCCTTATCTCCGTTTCTAGATCTATCAGGTTTGGATAAGATGATTCCTGAAGGACTGGTTTTGGGCCCTCTTTCTTTTTGGTTTCTTCCGGGGGGGGGGGTGTCTCCATCACCAGGACCTGTGAATTGGAAGAACTAGGAAGTTTGTAAACGAAAGGTTTTAACCACTTAGGCGGATTTTCTACTAGATCTTGCTAGACCATGACATAGGGGACCTGATCCGGATGGCCCCAGGGATCAGGAGCCATAATCTTCTCCTTCACAGCCTGTATGATGGACAGTCGAAAGGTGCCTTCCAGAGGCCATCCAACCCGGAAGGTGGGCCACTCTGCAGAGCAAAAGTTTATTAATTTACTTTCCTTGACTAGTAAAGACAAGTTATAGGTCCTGGCCCTGACATCCAAAAAATGGTCAGTCATGAGAGAAAGTAGGGTAGATTCCCCCTGACCCATGGTCAAAGAATAAATGGTAGGGGAAAGAGAGAGAGAAGTCACTGAGAATGACCACCAAAAAATCCTACCGGGAGTGGTGGTGGCCAAGAGGTTGGACTTATGGTATGCTTTTGGAACTGTTTATGTGCCTGCGTCATTGCACAGAAGTTTTCTTGCTGGGGGCGGGCACCCTAGAGGTTTCTAGCCCGTTCCGTGGCCCCCTTATCCTCTCACGGGAGTCTTCAAGTGGCAGGCGCCCTAATGGCCTTTAAGTGCCTGACCCATGGCCACACAAAGAATTTTAGGCCACGTCCTCAGTTAGGGATGTTAAAGGAGAGTTTCACCCAATCGGGCTCCAGTTACTGAGGCTCACTTATTGTAGGGCCTTCAGAGTCCGCCAGAGTGTAGCCCTGGCTGGGACTCATCAATTGCCCCCAAAACCGTTCACCTGTTCACTGAAACTCCCGAGAATAAAAGGAGTTGAGGGCAGATCAGAGAAGAAGAGGAAAGGAGAGTAAGTCAGAAGAGAGAGAAGAGAACGATGCACCAGAAGAGAAGGAGACCAGAGACAATGCCGGCACACACACACAAACACGGAGGGGCATAGACAAACACACAGATAGACAAACGTTGGCCGATAACATAGCACTGGGTTTTCGGGCCCCCTGAGTCCTCTTGCCTCCCGGTACAAGGTTTATCTTACCGAATGGCGTCCACTGTTCACCAGACTCGGGATCAGGAGAGGAACTCCCCTTCCCACAGAGCCAGCAGCCTTCCAGCGCGCTCGCTGACCTCGGTCTTGTGCCATCTGGAACGTCCAATCCGTTCCCCCTTTATAGAAAGCTTTCTCCTGTGCCAGATACTTTCCGTCTTCTCAGCAGGGCCTCGGATTTACACTGGACTTTCCTGTCCTGCCTGAGCACCGGTGCTATATCTATCCTTCCCCTCTGTCCTGGAAGTGTTCTCCTTCCCCAATCAAGGGATCCAGGAAGAGCCCCCAAATGTTATGCCCGATGTCCGAATCCCTGAGCGGGAAGAGAGAAGGCTTCTAAGACAATGCAACTCGGAAAAAAGGGAAGTTTATTGCTGACTCGAGTCAGGGCTCCTGCCGAGCGTCCAACGCAGTGGTACGGGGTCAGAGAGCGCTGAGCCCAAGCTGTTACCCAATTTATAAGGTGTGCATAAGCAGTTGGTAGCTGGCTTAAGTGGATTGGTTACATGTTTGCAAAGTAATCTTATTGGCCCAAACCTTTGCGGGCTTTTTTCAAACTTGGGAGTTTGAGGGCTTTTCAGCTTTCCCCTGATAGGTTCCCTTTTTCTTGCTAGGCGCATGTTGATTGGCTGGCTCCAGGTGGCCTGATAATCATGTTACCCTGGAAAACCAGGCCTACTCCTAATCTAAGCTGCCTGTCATGGCGCAGCCTCACATTCCTTGGCTGGCTCCAGGTGGCCTGATAATCATGTTACCCTGGAAAACCAGGCCTACTCCTAATCTAGGCTTCCTGTCATGGTGCAGCCTCACACACACTCCTAAATAACAGAAGAATTTCAACAGAAATTCAAATACATTTTGAACTAAATGAGACTGAAACCACAATCTATCAAAATTTGTGGGATGTAATGACAGAAGTGCTTAGAGGAAAATTTATAACATTGAATGCATACATTAGCAGAGAAGAAAGATCTAAAATCAGTAACCAAAGCTTTCACCTTAGGAAACTATACAAATCGGAAGAGATTCGATGCAAATTTAAATGGAAGAAAATAAATTTTTAAAATCAGAGCAGAAATGAATGAAATTGAAAACAGGAAAATAATGAAGATATCAATAAAAACAGAAGGTGTCTCTTTGTAAAGGTGAATAAGATGAATAGACCTCTAGCCAAGATAACCAAGAAAAGACATAAATTAGTAGTATCAAAAATGAAAGAGCTGTCATTACTACTGACTTGATGGACATTAAAATGATAATAACATTATATATAACTCTATATCAACAAATTTGGCAGCTTAAAGGACATAGACTGAGTTCTTAAAAGATATAATCTACCAAACTCACACAGGAAAAATAGATAATCTGGACATTTAATGCATTTTCAACATAGAAAGCTCCAGGTCCAGATGGGTTCACTGGTAAATTCTACCAAATATTTAAGAATCTATACAAACTACTATGTGGGAAATACTACAAGGATATATTCTACAACACAGGGAATAGGGGAATACAGCCAGTGTTATAATAACTATCAATAGAACATAAACTTTAAAAACTGTGAACCACTTACTGCACACCTATAATTTAAATAATATTGAACATCAACCATGCATCGATTTTTTAATAAATAAAACTTAAGAATCATTCCAATGGGGCAGGGGCTGTATGATAGTACAATGGTCGATCCATGACATTATGCACTTGTCACAAATCTATAGAATGTACAACACAAAGAGTGAAACCCGATGGAAACTACGGACTTCCATTAATAACGTGTCAGCGCTGGGCCATCCACTTTAACAAATGCAGCGCGCCTGTGCCAGGTGTTAACCGGGGTCCCTGAGGAACTGTGCACAGCACCTGTGGGAAATAACGACTTTCTACCCGATTTTCCATAAACTTAAAACCACTCTTAAAAATAGTCTCTTAGTTTTTCCTTTTAAAACTGGAAAGGTGACCAAGTCCTATCTGAACAGTAACCGGATGACCAAATACAGTATTTATTCCACGGGGCAAGGCCCAACAGGTGACGCCAGCTCTCTGCAGGGTAACCAGGTAGCTTGGGCTCCAAGTGGCCCCCCACCAGGTGACAGGCCAAGGGCACCCCTGCCCCCTGAAGGGGCCCAAGACAGCAGCGTCTGCAGGCCTGGCAGCTGCTGGGATTTCAGGTTCAGCTTCCTCCTAGGTAGGGGCTGGGAGGCAGCCAGTCCCAAACCCGCAGACGGCCGTGCAGGGGATGGGATCCGAGGGGAGACCTACCGACCACCCTACTGGCTTCCTCCCAGCGGCTTCTGCTCCCACCCGCCTCAGCGTACACGGCTGCTCCTTCTTCTCTAAAGGAGGAGAATGACTCACCTTCTCCTGCTCCTGTGCCTCTCACGCTCAGCAGTGATGCATCCATCCTTCCATCTTGCAGGGAAAACGGCGCTGAGGCAGCGCAGCGGCACCCCCGACCCCTCACACAGGAGCACAGCAGCGCCTCACACACCCAGCTTCGTCCCCTGAGCTGACAGCGAGGATGCTGTCCGTCTTCCCGCCGCGAGCAGTGACCCCCCTGGCCATCCACCCAGGGCCAGGGCCTCGTCCTCTACAGGACGATCATGTGTGGGAATATGTGATAACTGTCTCTGCTGCAATCCACCCTCTTTCACCAGACACATCCTCGGCTTTAAATTAACCACCCCCTACTTCTCTGAGAGCCTTTCCACTGCTTTTGAGTAAGTTTCTGCTTCTTGTATATTAAAGCACACTGGGATGACTGGGGGGTGCTACTGGTAAAGAATCTGTCTCCATCAATGCAAGAGACGTAGGAGATAAGGATTCGATCCCTGGGTCAGGAAGAGCCCGTGGAGGAGGAAATAGCAACCCACTCCAGTATTCTTGCCTGGGAAATCCCATGAAAGGAGGAACCTGGTGGACTATAGTCCATGGGATTACAGAGGCAGACACGACTGAGTATCTGAGCATAGCACAGGGATGACCTTCACTTGACCTTAGCCACTACCCTATGTCCTTTTGGACCCTCATAAGTCTCTTTAAAAGTTATTTAGAGGGTCTAGATGGAGTAATAAATTCATGTTCTGGTCCACTCCCTCTGCTACCAGCCATGATACTTGAAATAGAGAGGAAATCAAAGTGAAATGACTTGTCTCAAACAACAAAACCAAAAAGAATAAACCATAAAGGAAGACATTTATAAGTCTAAGGACATTGAAATTAAAAACATCTGTTCAAAGAAAGACACCAAAACAGACTGAAGGGTAAGGCACAGACTGAAAAACTATTTTGTAATGCACATTCCTGAGAAAAGATTTGGGTACAGAAAACATAAGAAATTCCCAGATGTTAATAAGGAAAAATAGTAGAAATCTCCAGAGAATAATGGGCCAAAAGATGAGGTGACACAGAAGAGGAAGCCAAACTGCCCATAAATGAAATAAACATATTCACCTCCATTCAGGCTCATGACCTTACATCCCAAGATCCCACTTCTAACAGTCCTCCGACACGGGTACAAAGAGGCAGATGATGGCGAGTTCAGGACAACAGTGTAACAGTAAAAACCTGAAACAGTTTAAATGTCCATCACACATGAGCATCACATATATACACATATTCATACAAGCATGCGTTATACACACATGTCACAAACACGTGTTTATATATATGCACACATGTGCACTCACGTTACATGCATATGGACATCACATACATGCATGCACGAATACACACATAACACATTCCGTTACATGTATGTGCACCTAGTGCACACATATACCCACTGCATGCACACATGCACATGTGCACACATATGCATGCATGCATATGCCCAGAAGCCTGTACTCTGTCCCCCTCACATTGCCCCCCTCTCTCAGCTACCAATAACTCCCTTAAAGGCAGTGGATCATGAGCTATATTAAATGACATCCTCCAGTATATTTAATTGACTCAAACACTAAAAGGTAAATTAAAAATCTAAAACAATCAATACTTAACAGTGGAATGACAAGTAAATGCTCTTGTTTTATGTGAGAGCATCATGTCCTTCCTCTTTCATCCTCAGTTTAAACTCCATCTGCTCCTAAACCTGGCCAAATTGCATGACAAATCAGGAAATAAAGCAAGTATGTTGGAACCAGAAAAGCCTCCAGCCATTTCTCTGGACAAAGTGCCAGCTTATTAACTTAGCATTCATTTTATTTCCTGAAGTTTAATTTACTAGACTTAAAAACCTTTAGCGACAGAAAAGAGGAAGCTTCAGAGGTGCTTGACGCTTTAAAGCATGCATGTGATATTCTAGGAGATATCTGTGAAGAGAAAATTAGTAGATTGCAAAATAGAAACATTTAACCCCATCTGAGTCACCTGAGCCTCAACTGATCCATCCCTGGTGACTCAAATGGTAAAGAATCTGGTGTGTCAGGTGTAACTATTGAATATAATAACCTGTGAAGTGCTAGTGAAATAACTAATTTTGGGCCAGCCAAAATAAACATTGCCGTCACAGGCATTATTTTCTCGGGTGTCGGCAAACCGGCATTTTAAATGCACATAACCAATGACTCTGCAATTATCCTTCTTAAATTCTATTTCACAGAGAAATTCATCCCTTTATAGTCATTGATTTGATGGGTCTCCATAGGTCACAGTTTAATCGACATAAGACATAAGAATATTTATTCCCTATTTGCATTTAGAGGATTTCTGGAAGGGGAAGGTCACACGCGGGGCAGAGGTGTGAATAAATATCAACCAGAGGGCTTAGGACAGAGGTCCTCTGAGATCCTTTGATCTGCTCCTGCGGTTCCTGCCAAGCCAGTGCAGATTACAAGGTGAGTGATGAGCGAGAAGGGAAGCCAACTCTCAGATCTCGGTGGTTGGATTTGGCTGCCTTACCTCGTGTGGACGCCAGGTGGCAGCACCACCCTCGTGTTTCTCTGTCCGGGCCCCAGAGCCGACGCCACAGCTGTGCGGGTGCAAATGAGGAGTTCCGCGCCCTCCTCGTAGGCGTGGGTGCAGCCGGCCAGGGTGAGAGGGGGGTCTCCTCATTGCACACAGCTGGCCCATTCGCTCAATACCTGTAAACCCAGGTCACAACGCATTTTCAAGTTCAGAGAAGGAGCTGTGGTCTGTTTGATTAGGGGGTTTGCACCAACCCAACGGGCATCCCTGGGCTTCGCTGGTGGCTCCATTAGTAAAGAATCCGCCTGCAATGACGGAGACCGGGTTCAATCCCTCGGTTGGGAAGTTCCCCTGGAGGAGGAAATGGCAACCCACTCTAGTATTCCTGCCTGGAGAGTCCCATGGACTGAGGAACCTGGCAGGCTACAGTCCATGGGGTCACAGAGAGTTGGACATGACTGAGCGACTAACATTTTCAGTTCAGTGGGCACCCCAACCTTTCATGGAGTGACGCCAAAGCTGCTCCACTGTGGCTGGCCCAGCTGGGTCCCAGGAACGCACAGCCTGTGTGGTGTCCACAGGCCCCTTGGGACCACCCAGGCTAAGGCCCATAAGGTCTCCTTCCAGCTGTTCTGGGCAGGAGGAACAGAGGACCAGGGGCCACACTTGCAGTGCTGGACCCTCCGCTCTTCCTGTTCACCCAGAGGGACAGCCTAAAAAACACACTCATAGACGAAAAGGGAAGGAAAGCAGTGATGAGAGAGAGGGCCGAGCAGGCCAGGAGTCAGAGAGCGGAAACAGAAGAGATGAACAAGCATCCCAGCGTTATCCTGAAGCGTGGATGCTATGGTTCTGAAATGAGGTGGTGAGGGAACTTTCTCTCTCTGTGTCTCTCTGTCTTTGTCTCTGTCTTTCACACACGCTTCATGTAAAATGTGGGAAAGGAGAGTTGGATAAGATGAGTGCACAGATGTGAGTTGGGAGTGGGGCAGATTGACAGGCAGGAACGGCTAAAAAGAAACCCTGCCAGCCTGTCTCGCCAGCAAATATGTCACTTGAGTCTCTCATCTCGTTAGGGAAGTGGAAGGAACAGAAGGCCCGGCTTCTGCTGGCGGGGGGGATTGTGAACGGGTGGTTCCACTTGATAGAACAGGTGGGGCGAGGGGTTGGGGGTGAAGAGATGCTGCAGGAGTCCACAGCCCGCAGCCGGCAGACATGCGGCAGACAGGCCAGGGTGCCCCGAGCAGGGCGAACTGAAGGTGGCCACGGTGAAGCATCTAAAAAGGCCAGGACCTCTGTCATGGGACCCAGGACTGAGGTTGAAGCTGCAGTTGAAACTGGGCTTCCCTGGTGGTCCAGTGGTTAAGAATCCAGCCTGCATTGCAGGGGACACCAGTTCCATCCCCATCCAGGAAGATCCTATGTGCCTCAGGGCAAATAAGCCCGTGTGCCACAGTTACTGAAGCTCATGTGCTCTAGAGCATGAGATTCACAAGAGAAGCACTGCAATGAGAAATCCACACACCACAGCTAGAGTGCAGCCCCCGTTCATGGCAACCAGAGAGAAGCCCAAGCAGCAAGCAGGACGAGCACAGACAAATAAATAAGCAAACTTTGTTAAAAGTTGCAGAACAGAGAACATTTGGGGGAAGAAAAAAAAAAAGGGGATGCAAAACAAAATAGAAAAGACCCAGCAGCTTTGTTGACATAAATCAGTGCAGAGATCTAAAGAGCCCTGGTGATGACGGCAACCTCCAGGCCACTCACCAAGGAAATTAGACAAAGATCCAAAACGTTCCCTCCCTGGAGTGAAGTGTTGACAGAAGCCGGAAAGCATGAGTTCAGCAGCCAACGTGGGAGGGGTGAGTGTTGGCCTTGAAAATCTCGGTTCTGTTCCATTCTTTCCTCCCTCCCCCATCGTGGCCCTGGAGCAGGGCAGTGAGTTTCTGCCAGCCTTGCTCCTCAGGTTTAAGTGACAACACCCAGCGGGTCAGAATCCACAAGGTGAACAGCAGAGAGAAGGGGCGGGAAGTCCCTGAGGTGATGGGAGAGCTGAAAGGACAATATCAGCCTCAGATGAGCAGCGGCAGAGGGGTGGGGGGTCCTGGAAAAGCTGGTTATTTGGGGGAATCAGGAACTAGGATTACAAGTATTTATGTTTAAATATAACCTGTATGCTCAGCAAAGTAAGGATGAGATAACGCCATTTACAGCAACATGGATGGTCCTAAAGATCATCATACTGAGTGAAGTAAGTCAGACAGAGAAAGATAAATCTGTGATATTGCTTATATGCAGAACCTTTGAAAAGATGACACAAATGAGCTTATTTATAAAATAGAAACAGATTCACAGACTTAAAGGATGAAATTATGGTTGCTGGGGGGAAGGGAGGGAAAGATGGGGGAAGGGACAGTTAGGGAGTTTGGGATGGACATGTACACACTGCTATATTTTAAATGGATAACCGACAAGGACCTACTGTATAGCACAGGGAGCTCTGCTCAGTGTTAGGTAACAACCTAAATGGGCAAAGAACTTTAAAAAGAATAGACACATGTATAAGTGTAAATATACGTATTTACTGGATATGGATACTGGATAAGAATACTGGAGTGGGTTGCCATTCCCTTCTCCAGGGGATCTTCCTGATCCAGGGATTGAACCTGGGTCTCCTACATTGCAGGCAGAGTCTTTACCATCTAAGCCACCAGGGAAACTCCACACATATGTGTAAATATATATGTACACATGTATATATATATGATATATATTAAATAAAAAATAAGCATATACATACCATACTGGTATATATAAAATATGTATATTATCTATATATGTATAAAACTTATATGGGAGAAATTAAACTTGATATTACAGGTACCATATTTTTAAGGAAAAAAATGAATAGATGACTGGACAAAAGAAATTTTCTGACTTGTGAATTCTTATGTGAAAATCTATAAACAGGTCTGAAAATGAAGCCCACTTGAAGGAGTCCATAGAATGTGTGCTCAAGAGCAGGCCCCTCAATGGACTCCTGGGTGCGCTCCTAGCAGCCCAGGAGGACAGTGGGGAGCAGGTGTCAGCCTCCTTCCTCCTGAGGGGCCAGGGATCCAACATTTCAGCCTCAGTTCTCATCAGCACGGCCGAAGGCTGCTCCTGCTGGTGTCGTCTCCTGGGTGCTTCTAGAATGTTCTGCGCAAGCCGGGCCTGGCAAAGAAACCTCTCAGTGGAGAACCTCAGGTGCTTGCAATAGAAGCTGACAAAACAGCTGGGGAGGACCACACCTGAGGGGCCTCTGGCACCATCAGCATCCTCCGTGCATGCAGGTGGGAGGCAGCCGGCAGACCGCGATACAGCCTGTTGACATGGCCCCTGGGGCCAATGCTCCGGGAGACACAGACCACTGCCCGGCCTCTCCTGGCTCCTGGGGAGCAGCTGTTCAGTCCCAGGAACAGCCAGTCAGGTCTGTTCACACAGTCCCTCTCTGCTCACGGGCAGCAGACATCCTCCAGGGCAGTTCTGAGTCCGGGTCACCAAGTTCACCAGGCCCCGAGGTGAAGACGGGAAAGTTTTCTCTGGGAGCCACCCCGGCCAGCTGTGCCCGTCAGCAAGGGCTTTGACCCTGGGCACTGGTCAGGAGGTGACCCCTGGGACATGAGGGGGTGCCTTTTTTATTTTGCTGGCTGCCTGGGAGTTTTCATACATCCAAGCTGACAGGAAACCCTGGACATGACATGCAGAATGGAAAAAAAAAGACCATTGACAACTTAGTTTGTGGTTTCTGCAGACATTTCACTTTCCTGATTTAGTCTGATTTCAGATCTGCCCCAATGTTCGTGTCCCCGTTGAGCTGACAATATTTAAACGTCTAAATTGGCCAACAGCATGTGTAACTGAATGAATTTTTGTTATGTGGTCCAATCTGAGTCAGTTTCTCACCCACCTTTGAAGGTAGAAGACTCATTTCTCTGATTGTTTGCCTTCTGAAGTTCGATCATAGAGCATCTCTAAACACAGTTAATGACATAATCAGCTTGAGATTAAAAATATCCATCTTATTTCTTTTGGTTTCACAGGCCCTGCTGCTTCAAAAACCCATCGCTTGACTGTGTTTATTGTTGTATCATTTATAATATGTCCGTAAATCCAGAGCCAATTATTCCAGTCTCTCATTTGCTGCCAATAAAAAGTCCTCCACCATTTCAGCTTCTCCACTGATGGATCCTTTCCATAAGAAAATTAGAAAGCTTCCAACAATGCGTCTGATGTACAACTGATGATTTTTTCTCCTTTCCAAATGACACAGGGGCTTCCCAGAAGGCGCTAGTGGTAAAGAACCTGCCTGCCGATGCAGGAGGTTGAGCAACTAAAAGCAAACAACATGGACCCAGGGAAAGAGGGTTGAGGATGATGCCTGTGCCCACCTGTGGGGTGGGGAGGAGCAGGGCTGGGGAGTGGCCAGAATGTACCAGTCAGGGTGAAAACCTGTGCCAATCACCCAGCCTTACCTCTCCTCCGGAAGGGATCGATCTGAGTGCCACAGCTTGGCCGCTATCTCTCCCCGATTCCCTGGACACAAACCCCTGGCTTCTCAGAGTCGATTTGTCCCTAAACATCTGCACGTACAGCTGCCGAGGAGGAGGCTTTGTAGCCTCTGAAATGATGGTTTTTTTCCTCCTACTGTCCGTTTCTTACAACAACGTTGGGGAGGTTTAACCATGATTCATCTTGGTTTCTTGTGGTATTGCTGTCATTGTTGTTATCTTAGCAGAGAGTCTCCACGCGTTTTGGCAGGAACAGGGAGCCATTCTCCCCTGCTTCTGTGATTTGCAGAGACGGAGGGGCCAGAGGGGCCGATGCTTTTCCCACTCTGCGTCCCTCCCCCCACTTCAGGCTGCCCTTCTTCCTCATTTGTCACCATGACCCCTCCTCCCTCTAAAGAGAGTCTGCTGGCAGTTTTCCCTGGGGGGATCTCTGTTTGAGAGAAAGTTTCCTTTCTGGGTTTGGGGCCTTCCTGTGCCTGACCCCAACCCCTCAGCACCTCACACAGCCCTGCAGACACCCCAGGGCCCCCTCCACCTCAGCCTGCCCCACCAGAGCCCGCCCTCCCCCCGGGGTTGTCCTGCCTTCTCTCTGCTCCCTCCGGAGGAGGACCAAGGCCCCCCTGGTTCTGAGCACAGACACCGGGGTGCATAGGGATCCCTCAGCACCCGGCTCACCTGGAGATGCTGGATGCAGGTCTCTGCCTGCCCCACCACCCGGAGCTCCGTCTAGAGCAGAATCTGCAGAAGAGAGGGGACATTCTGAGAGAATCTGGCAAGATCAGCACTGACATGAGCTCGCTCTTTGCAGCTAAGATGTTTTCATTGTCAAATATCTATGACCCGCCCCTCACATCCATCTATGAGCTTGTTGAGGAAAGCTATCCTATGTATCCATCTTCCTACCTCCAGGGCCTGCGATGGTGCCCATCATGGAAGAGACACAATCAATTGTGGTTGCATTGAATTAACTCATGTTTCTTGTTGGGAACTGTGGTTCCTACCAGGGCTAGACAACCACTGGAAAGTAAGGGATGTGTGCAGTCCATACAGTTTTGAAGACCCAAACACATTTTCTTTTCTTGAAGGGACAGCAGGAGAATAAATAAAGCAAGGAGACCTGAGGTCAAAGTGCTAGAATCTGAGCCCTTCATTGATAAACTTCATGGACACTCCCCTAGAGCCCGTGCTCCACATGAGAAGCCACTTCAGCGAGAAGCCGGAGCACCACAACTAAAGACTAGCCCCCGCTCGCCACAACCAGAAAAAAGCCCACACAGCAACAGGCACCCAGTGCAGCCAAAATAAATAAATAATAAAATTATTTTTTTAAAGGTCAATGTAAAAACAGTAGCAGTTGTAATCATGCGTTTTGTTGATTTGCTGCCTTCTAAGATACAGTCCCCGTTCAGGCAATTTTCAGAGAAATGTTGCAAAGGAAATAACTTTTATTTTCCTCTACAAATGTCAATAACACCTCCATATGTCCTGCTCACTACAAAATTGGGGTCTTATTAGCAGAAGAGTACAGGAAAGACTGGTGGGCAAAGGACAATATTTGCCATCTTTGTCATCAGAAAAAAAAAAAAAAAAGTGGGTGCAGTTTCCTCAAGGAGCAGCAGAGGGCAGCAGTGGGCCGACATCACACAACAGTAGGACCCTAAACAAACCTTGAGTATCTGCCTCTAACTTTGCCATTTGAGCATCACTGAATGGGCTGCCTAAGCAGCCAGCAGTGACACATGTGTGATGTACCCGATAACAACACTTCCAGAATTTAAATGTCTTGACGCCAAAATGATAAAAACCTCTTAGTAGAGTGTAGAGTATAATAACATAAAGTGTAAGGTATGCAAGAAATCAATGAGTCAAACTGTATTTAATATAAATGTTACATGATTCCAAATGAAAGTGTTCATGAACTGTGTTTATCACTTTCTGAAGACTAGACATATCCATGGGGACTTAGAAAACAAAATCTTGGTTACCAAAAAGGAACATGTTAGTCACTCAGTGGTGTCTGACTCTTTTGCGACCCCATGGACTGTAGCCCGTCAGGCTCCTCTGTCCATGGAATTCTCCAGGCAAGAACACTGGAGTGGGTTGCCATTCCCTTCTCCAGGGGATCATCCAGATCCAGGGATCAAACCTATGTCTCCTGCATTTCAGGGAGATTCTTTACCCTCTGAGCCACTGCTCATTTTATGATGGATAAGAGGTGGCCAAAATGACTCCACGGGATTTCAGAGATTAGGTCATGAAAAGCAATAGGGCTTCCTCTTGCCTGCCCACCCCCCTCACCCTGAGAACCTTAGGCCACAGGGAGAGGGCCTGAGCTCCGGCAGCCCCAGCTGGGGTCTCAGCCCCCACACTGCCCAGCTGCTAAGTGGAAAGGAGTCAGAACATGCCACCCCACCCCAGTCCCTTCTCAAACTGCAGATTCATGAGCAAAATACATGTTGTGTGTTGTTTGAATGCATTCAGCATTGGGGTGGGTGGTTTTGCAGCAAAAAACTAAAACACATCAAAAGAGAAGAGCATTGTTATCTTGAAAAGCAAATGTTTGGTGAAGAGTTTTTTCCTACAACAGATGGGTCTATGTAGTTAAGCACGTTTATATTTAAATGTTAAAACATTTAGTTACAACTAAAAGTGTACAGTTCTAATTTTACAGGCATTCTCCTTAGAATTCAGATATCCATTTTACAGCAAATGGTCAGAAAGTCACAGAATTTAGAGCTCAAGTGACACTGACGGTCCCCAGCCTTGCTTATGCAGCATAGAAGCAGGAAGCCAGCGTTCTTCTTGTTTATTCTGCAGAAACTGGAACATAGAGATGGACTTTCCTGCTTGGCATGACTTCTCCATTGAGAGTGAAGTATACTAAATTTGATAAGGAAATAGTCTTTCTTTCCTGATACAAAAACAACAACAACAAAAACACTTCTGTTTAAGAAGCTAAATTTTTCTCCAGTGTTACTAAAATTCCAATTTGCTCACTGTCCAGCAACAGTCCTATGGGCCCCACAGATATAATTTAGGGCTCCCCAATACCCAGATGTCCCCCAAAGGCAAGAAGGCAAAGGTCCTGATGAATTGAACATTTACTTTCTGTTATCCCAAAGAAGTGTTGCCGGATGAAACACAGATAGTTCAGTTCAATTGAAATTTCAGGTAAACAGTGTTTTTTCTTTTTCTTTTCCTTTTTTTAACTGTAGGTATGTTCCATTCTTTTTTTTTTTTTTTTTGCCACATTGAGAGGTTTGCAGGATCTTAATTCCCCGATCAGGGATTGAACTAGGGCTGCTGGCAGCAAACACACGTAGTCCTAACCACTGGACCACCAGGAAACACATGTCTCGCATTTTATTGGCTGAATCTGGCAATAATACCCCACAGAGACTCTTCCATATTGAATCAGTCCGAGGCACCCAGAATGGATATGTTTAAAATTCTCCTGGAAGAATGGGGTCAGAATATCATGCTGTGGAAGTTTTATGTTATTAGTATCATTTTATTACTGAATAGAAATAGAGACCCCAGAATAAAAGGAGCTCAGTATTTAAGATGAAGCAACATTTGCTACGTATCAGAGTGTCACATTTTACCTGACTCTGGTGATCTGCACACAGCGGGCAACATGCGTGAGGAAGGCCAAAGGCAAAATGTTCTCATTTTCATCAAAGATGGACATGGAGCTGCCATCTGACTGAGTCAGATGCAGAGATCTCATTGTGTCCAAAACCAGGGAGTAATCACAGCCCTAAATGCACATGACAAAACTTAAACTCACCTGCACGCAAAAAAAAACAAAACATAGGCATCCCCAATCCCACTGTAAGAGTTATCTTGTTAGGGGGTCACCTTTGGAGAATTCAGCTACTGATACTGCTATTTTCTGCTGCCTTTCATCAGAGGGCTATCCTGAGTAGCACACGGTGGTCTGGGAGGTGTGACTCACACCTAAAGTGTGGTTGCTTCCTGCAGAACCCTGGTGACCGGAGCATGAAAAGGTGGCTCTCAGCCTCTTACTCCCGGCAGGAAATGAGCTACGAGGGAGGGAGCAAGGGTGGTCTGGCCGTCTCCATTGTCTGCCCATCAACAGACTTAAACATCTAAAATGTACATAGCAGAACTCTAGTGAATGACACTGAGAGCCTGAATGAATGGAAATACACACCTATTTCTTTAGTGGAAATAATTAATAGTGCAAAGATGCCAGCTGTCCCTAAGTCACTGCCAATCAAATTTCAGAGCAAGGTTTTTTGAGGTGAAATATTCTAGAAACTCTGAGTTTCCTGTAACCCAGCTGGCTCCACTCCAGCTGTGGGCAGCTGTCAGAGCACACACCAGGTGAGGTGAGGTGGTGGAGGCAGGGGCGGGACCCAGTTCTCAGTCTGGTCTCAGGGAAATCTCAATTGTTCCCAGACCATCTCTCCCAGCATGGATTATATCCCCGTATCACGTTTGCTCACATGCTCTAGGGGAAGGCAGTTTGAGAAGCCCTACATTAAAGTTACCATTTGACCCTTCTTGCTTTTCATCTAGCAACAACCACACCCTAACCTGCTAACCCCATCTTCAAAGTCTGCAAAGTGTCCTAAACTGCAGTCACTGAATCACCCCGATGGCATCATAGGTTCAGATACAGGGAAAAGTACAATATCTTGTTCAGTCTTCTCAAAATAGCAGCAGTCACTCCCCCAGATAACTGCCTTTAGTAATGGCTTAAAGAGACCGCAGGGTTTAATGTGAGTTGCTCCCCTCTGGACAAACCCTGAAAACAGCACAACATGTGCAGTGTGCAGGATTTCTTTTCCTCCCAGATCCCCAGGTCTCACTCTATCCCACTCCAGGCATCCAGTGAGTGATGTCAGATGGATGGAGAGCTCCCAGCAGTTAAGGGCAGCCGTGATGAGTGAGGCTGGAACAGTGCAGTGTTTGAGGTCTTCCAAGAAAATCAGCATAGAAGACGGGTCAGTGACTCACTTGGCAACCAGAGAAGCTCGCAGGGCGCCTGGCAGCTCCTCCTGCTCAGAAGTCGCCGGGCAGCTGGTGTGACTGGCGCTCAGTCCCTTGGGGACTCTCCTGGGCTCACACTTCCCTCCCCCATCCCATCCGGGGAGCTTCTCCCAAGTTCAGCACGTACAGCATTTTAGAACCAGTGCCACCAACTAGAGGGATGTAAGAGAACCTGAAATCAGTAAAGGAAAGCAGCATTTCTCATAAATGGGGTAACTTACCTAAGCCCCACATCATCAAACTGAGACTTCACTACTATTTCCACTCTCCCAGAAATAGAATCTGAAGCTGGTTCATCAGGCATCGCCTGACCAGCACTGGTGAGGGAGGTCACCTGCCTGGCAGACCCTTTCTGTCCTTCACAGGAAAGTGACCTTAATAACCAACCCGTGTTGTCCAACATAACCTCTTTCTCCCCACCCCCATTCGCCCATAAAGTCCTTCATTCTATCCAGCTCCTGGGGCTCCTCTCTGTCTGCTGATGGGATGCTGTCTGATGCATAAATAGTTGAATAAAGCCAATAAGGTCACTAACACTTAGTTGAATTTTATTTTTTACCATTCAATATAGACAGATATCTAGACAGGTAAAGGATGGATGGATGGATGGATGCATTGATCGATTGATGTAGAGATGATAGATAAATAGATAGATAGACAAGACAGGATATACATGTAAATCTTCAGATCATCGCAGGCTGTGGAGGAGCAAGGAAGGAAGTGGAAGGCACTGGAGAAATGTGGGGAGGAGGTGGAAAACCACTGGGTGTGACGCAGGTCCTGTGAACTGTTGAGCTGCTGGATTCAGCAAAAACACTGAGGTCAACTTCAATTATCAGAGGTTAAATTTTTCTTAACAACACAGCTTTCTTTAGTTAACATTAAATATCTCTATTCCACACAATATACAAACACAAAGGACCAATAGAATAAACCTGCAACCTGAGTTTATGGAATAAAACAGCACAAACACTGGGATCTGGACCCTCCGTGCTGCCTTCGCCTCCTGCCCCGGCCCCTTGCAGCTCCCACTCATGCTGCCTGGGATCTGGTGTTTATAACGGAATGTTCTCACCCTGCGGCACTTTCCTGTGTGTCGGTCAACAATGTAGATTATCCTTCTGCATGTTTTTAGTCTTTGACATGAATGGTGTACTTCATGTCTTCTTCTGCAACTTTTCTTCTTACTTCAACACATAATTGGGACTTATTTATGCTGCTTCTGTCTGTCGTTTGTTATTTTCACTGATGTGTAGCATCACACAA